GTCTATCGTCTTTATATAGAGTCTCACATGAAGTCTCAGAACGTGGGCAGGATGTAACAACTTCTTTGACACAATGTAACATGAATGGACTCTAGTCAAATGCCCAAGGGAATCCTTATTTCCCTCTGAAACCTCATGAGCAGTTTTTATCTCTGCATTCCAGTATTCAGAGCTCCCACCAGAATTTCCCATTAAGCTCTATTTACAACATTCTAAAGCTTTTCTAGCTTGCAGCTCCAGATTTTTAAAAATTCTCCCCCAAACAAGCTCCAAAGGATTCTGAATCATATAGTCAGGTTAGCCACTGCTTCTTAGTACCAATTTTCATGTTAATAAATTTTGCATTTCTCTGTCAAAAAGACCTTAGAAGTGGGAAAGTTTACTTTTGTTCACAGTTCCCTAGATTTAATCCATGTTCAGCTGAGTCCATTGCTCTGGGCCCAAAGTGAGGCAGAACATTATGGCAGGAGAATTTCATGGAGACCACTGCTACATTCATGGCAGCTAGGAATGAGAGATAGGAAAGGGGAAAAGGGTCACAGGAAAGATCAATCTATTTTTCCAGTGCACATCCCTACTGACCCAACCTTCTCCAGTCATGTCCCACCTGCCTACAGTTACCACCCCGTCCCTTCAAACTTGGGTGAACTGGTCAAGTTACTACTCCTGCAATCCAATTCTTTTACTTCTGAATATTCCTGAATGCATATAGCAGCTTTGGGGGCACACCTCATATGTAACTCATAACAGGGAAAATGTCATGAAAATAGAAGGGAGACCAGTAGAGTACAGGAATGGTCCACAGGGAGTTTTGAAAGGAGTGAAAGGGGAAATACTGAAAAATGACACTGACCAAATCAAATTGTTACATTGCATGCATGTATAACCATGTCATACAAATCCCATTATTAGGTATAATTTCAATATAGCCATAAAAATGTGGAAAAAGAGAAAGATAAATTAAAAAATGAGTCTTAACCCAAGATTATCTTAACTAATAAAATGCTAAAGTGCTTACCAACTTGAAAAAATAAATAAAATATGCCTTCTTAGAAGGAAAACAATGTCATTTCCTTTGTGCAAGTTTTCAAGATGAATCACTGTGTGTGTGTGTGTGTATATGTGTGTGTGTGTGTGTGTGTGTGTGTGTGTACATACACATGTGCACATGCACGTCTTTCCTCAGAATTTTAAAAAGCTTCCTTCATAATGCTTATATATTCTTCCTTCTGTTATCACTCTTTATGCATTTATCTTGTTCCTTTCTGGTTCATATATACTGTGTTTACCTTTCCAAAACCAATTCCCCCTTTGGTTATCACCACCCTGATTTTGCTTTGAGGAAACACCCCTCCCTAAATGTACACAATTTCATGGTATTATCAATCTACAAACCCAGCTTTCCTGGCCAAAGTGTGAACACATGACCCAATGCAGTCCTGCCATATTCTCTGCTCTAGAATTTCAATTATGAGCAGAGACAAAATGTATTTGTGCTCACTCAATTTGACAGAAGTGATTTGAAGAGAGATTGTCCCATTAGATACAGTTTCCTAAATTTCTGTAGCTGCCTCATTTTATTTCTCTGTTTTGAGAACTATACCGTATCCTTCCTATTAAGTATTTTTGTTCCTTATTTAACCATGATCATTTCCTGTTTCTTACAGTCAAGGAATTCTAATAACTATTTGCCTCAATACATATATGCAATATACATATAAACCCACACAAATGCAAGTTCCATGACAGCAGGGCACATGTGATCTTAGCAATTTTCTAAAATTTGCCAACACCAACCCACCACACACACACAATACCACATAACCACACAAAGAAGTCAATAATAACTTGAAAAAGTTAAATTCCATGAAATATTTATTATCACAAGTTTCCTAATTTAATGACATCATCTCTTTGCTAGTGATGGCAAATGAAAATTACTGAGAACACCAAATTCTACAAAACCTGAGGCTTTTAGACATCATGCTGCCTGTGGGCAATTCCAACTCCAGTTCCACCTACTTCCATCTAATTCCACCACTACCACCTCAAGCCCCCAGTTTCCATTAATACCTCCATCACTTCCAGAATAAGTCATGCCTGCTGATAAGCCAAAATGTCATCGACCAACCCTATCTACATCAGTGATGCCAAGAGTGCACTTCCAGAAGCAATTTAAAAAGGCATTCAGCTACCAAAACAGAAGAGCAGCATGAACAAGAAGCTCACTGGGATGACATTGCCCCATCCTGTCTGGCCATATTGCCGTGAACTGGAGTGATTCAGGAGGTGTTTCAGAAGCTGATGAAATACAGTGGAGATAATAAAAATCATTGATAATTATAATAAAAATGAATGCAAGTGTCTTTTACCATATTTGTTGTTTTAAAATGTTTGCTCATTCTAATTTTTTGCTCTATTTTTCACATGATAAATAATCCTTTATCACCTTAAATTATTATTTCTGATAAAATAGATATTATTTTATCAGAAATAATAGTATATATTTATTATTATATATTTAATAAATATATCATTTAGTATATATTTCAAAGTAAATGCTTTGTTTTGGCTACTTTTTCCCTAAAATGATCTAATTTAGTCAAATAAACCCATACTAAGCATGAACATCAGCTAGAGTAGCAGATGCATTTTTTGACATATTTTAATTGTGCACATGATGAATTTTAATGTAAAAAAACACTTTGATCAAAATCTTGAGGACAGTTATATCTTCTGAGGCTTAGTTAATTTCTTAATGTTTTGAAAGAAGAAACAGTATCTTGACTATATGAATCACTCAGAATTGTGTATTTAGCTTGTAGTGTTAACCTCTCTTAACAGAATCTTGAATTTTAAAAAAATATTGTATTTATTTTAATATTTTAAATACTTACTTATCTTATTTAGACATGTGTCCTATATTCATATATGAATACACAACCAGTAAAATTATACATCATGTACAACCTTAAGAATGGGAAGTTATATTCAGGTTGTGTATTAAGTTATATTCCATATATGTATAATATATTAAATTACACTCTACTGTCAAGTATATCTAAAAAGAACAAATAAAAAAATTTAAAGTACTTATTTGAGTGTTTAGTATTACTCTTTTTATTTATATACTATATGGTACAGGTTTGCTTGCCTCTGAGAGAAATATCTTTCCATGTAAAATAATTTGGATTATACATAGATGCAATTATATAACTGTTAAGAATAACGGTCTTTAAAAAAATGAGCAAAAGACTTGAATAGACATTTCTCCAAATTTATAAAAATGACCATCAGTATTTGAAAACAATTCTCATTGTCTTGAGTATCACATTAAAAAAAACGTGATTCAAACTATAATAAGATATCACTTCATTGGGCTGGGGATATAGCTCAGTTGGTAGAGTGCATGTCTTGCATGTACAGGGCCTTGGGTTGGGTACCCAGCATCACACACAAAAAAGATATTACTTCATACTCACTAGTAAAAAAGAGGTAATAAGAAGTGTTAGTCAGGATGTAGTGTTAGATGATGCAGCTAACCTGGGCAAATAGCATAAAGAAGCTCCTTCAAAAAGTTAAACAACAAATATTTGCTATGGTTTGTACCCCAAAGGTTCATGTGCAAGAATCTTGGTTTCTGGAATTTGTTGGAACATTTAAGTGGTAAACCTAGTGGGAAGTAATCGGGTCATTGGAATAAACTAATGCTGGTCTCTCAGCATGAGTTAGCTTTCAAAAGTCATATGTTCTGAAGTGAGGCTACCCCACATGCTTGGCTCCTCTGTACTCACAGAGTTTCCTTTCCATTTCTCTGCTATGTTGTCATGCAGCCAGAGGGCTGCTCCATGCTCTTTGGGCCCTATGGTCACAAGACAGGAACATTATTTCTTTATAAAGTATCCAGCCTTGGTATTTTGTTGTATTAATAGAAAACCGACTAATGCTCCATATGATCCAGAAATTCCACTCCTGGGTATAGAGTAAAAAAAGAATTTTAAAAGCAACCAAAAGGATATGTTCACACAAAACTTCATACACAAATATGCATATCGCAGCATTACTCACATTACCATAAAGAGGAAACAATTTCCATCAAGTGGTGAATGTGTTAACAAAATATGAAATATTTATGCAACTGATTATTATTCAGTCATAAAAAGAAATAAATTCTGATATAGGCTGCAGTCTGGATGAATCTTGAAAAGATAGTGAAATTGAAATTCCAAAATTATTATGAAAGAATCTAGTCACAAAAGGCCACTTATTATGTGATTATATTTATATGAAAAATCCAGAATAGGTGAATCTACACTGTCATAAAATAGATTAGTGGTGGCAAGAGCTATGTGGCTGATGGAAGGGCTAGGGAAGATATCTAATAAGCATGGGATTTCTTCTGTGAACACATTAACTGTACATTTTAAATGGATAAATTCCATGGTATGTAAATTAGACCTAAATGAAACATTCACATAAGAAAACAAACAAGCAACATTAAAGCCTTAAATATGAAGGAGGGGGCAGGACAATACGAAGGAGTGGGCAGTCAGAGATGCAAGTAGAGACAGGTTTACTAAAAGTGGTTTAAAGTTCAAGAATTTACTCTTTATTCTATGTACCAGAGTGCAGCTTGCCACTTGTTTTTGTAAATAAACTTTTACTGGAGCACAGCCCACTCATCCATGCAGTATTGTCTTACAGCTGCTTTTACACTGCAATGACTGAGTAATATAGGTGCAACCCGACACCCTCTGATCGGAAAATCAAAGTATTTACTACTTGGTCACGTACATGAATGTATTCTGACCTCTCCTGTTAAGGTTTGAATTTATCCCCATTAAGTTCTTGTGCTGGAAACTGAAAGCCCACATTCATTTGCTAATGGATTTGGAGGTGAGGCCTTTGGGAGGTGAATGAGAGTAGATAAGATTATGAGGGAGGTGCCCCCTTATGGCATTAATGGTTTTACAAAAGGGAGAGACCTGATCCTGCAGGCTTGCTGGGTCTCACCATGTGATGCCCCCTGCCATGTTACAGTGCAGCAAGAAGACCCTCACCAGATGCTGGCACCTTGCTCCTGAGCTTTCCAGACTTCAGAACTGTGAGCTGAATAAAATTTCATTCTTTATCCATTGTCCAGTATTGGATATTTTGTTATAGAAACATAAAATGAACTAAAATTCCTTCTATGTACAGGGCAAAGACTTTGAAGATTTTTAGAAAGAAAACTATGATTGCCACTTAGAGATTGAAAAAGTAGAAAAGTAGATGTGAAAAATTAGAAACAGAAAGCACAGGCTTGCCCTGTACCTTATTCCTTCTTCTCACAGGACCCTCAGAACTCTGTCTACTTCTTTCTCTTCTACAGAGCAGTCACCTCTGTTTATACCTCCTGATTCTCTCTCTGGTCAGGACTCCAATGGCCTTTCACTTTAGAATTTCTACCTGTCCCTGAGACTGAACAGGTCACAGGCCACTTTGTGATAAGATTTTTAGAGAGCAGTAACAATTTCTTAGGTTCCAAGATTCCAGAAGTCAACAAAGATCTTACAAAATTCGTATTTCTTTGTGTTTTCAGTGCCTACCACAATGCTGATGATCAACTAATGCTGAATGAGTGAACGATAGTAGTAAATATGCTTTGTTTTTTTCTCTTTTATTTTGAGAGTCTCTTGGGATCATCTTCGTCTTTTTTATGGAATCCCTGACCTTTCCTTACCTGCTTTCACTTACCTTCTGGATTTCCATAACTGAAACATGGTTCCTGGAACAAATGTCTAAACGAATAGCCCTACCCAGTGGGCCCCATGAACTCTCTGGCAGGAAGTGCAGGGAGTACACTGTCCTCTCACTCTGGCCTGATTTCCACTGCACCCATGCAATCAGTTCCTCCCACTTTGGAAAATGAATTCAGCATGTGTATACTTGTTCCCAGAGGACAGAAATCTAACCCTGACTCTGCACCTAGGTGTAGGCAAAAGTAAACTCATTAATCAGAGTCCTGATAGGGCGATAGAAAACACATCAGTTCTTGAGGAAGAAAGCTATAGCCATGTATGAGCCCTGCTTTGCCAAGATGTGGTCATACTCTTGGTGACTGGTTTCCCATGCTGCCAGTAAATCTTGGGTCAGGGCACACCCAGTTACCCTGAAGGAGGGCCCTCCTTAAAGGCCCTCTCAGAAAAACCAGGATCTGGACCCCAACTTCCTCACCTAGTGACTCACTGCTTGCTGTTAAATACCAACTGTAAGTAATCAGAGAGACAGTCAGACGAAGAATGTATTTGTAGCTTTTCTTTGAGTTAGTCCTAAAGATAAAATGTATTTAAATATTGAATATAAAATATGCTATTAATTTTGAAATGTGGGTGGGATTGTGAGTCACATAAAAGATAAATCTGAATAAATTCCAGATGACCTTTTTTAACAAAAAATTGTTTTCCTTTGAAGTGATAATGAGCTGGGATTGTAGCTCAGTGGTAGACGTAGGCTACATGCATGAGACCCTGGGTTCAATGCTCGGAACCATAGACACACACATAATGATACCACTCCATACCCCAAACAATTAAATTATCCTTAACACTTAAAATATGAGACCCAAGGATAAGAGAATAATTTTCCTAGAGAAAAAGATGAGTTATAAATGTTTTAAGGGTGTGGCCCGGAGTTCCTTCAGGCTTTTGCAGAGCTTCAAAGATATATGTGATATATGAAAGTACCGGGTGCCTTTGCCTGCAGAAATACAGACTGAAGGTCTAGCTCCAAGGTACAGGACCCAGTGTGCTGGTCTTTTTTCCCATTATTATAACAAAATAATTGAGATAAATTAACTTTAAAAGAGAAAAGTCTATATTGCCTCAGTTTCAGAGCTTTCGATCCATCATCTATTGGGTTGGAGTGAACCAATACATTTTATCAGGAGTGTATGGTGGAAGAAACTGCTCATTTCATGATAGCCAGGGAAGAGAGAGAGAGAGAGAGAGAGAGAGAGAGAGAGAGAGAGAGAGAGAGAGAGAGAGAGAGAGAGAGAAGACCTAAATCTAGTCCCACCTAAGTTTTAATAGCATAGCTAAGAAAACTGAGGGCATTGGGCAGTTAGTTGATTTTCTCTTTAAAATAAAAGAGCAAATTGCTATTAAAGAAAGGCAAATTACGCATGCTATCTTATTCTATTTTGTTCTAGTATTACAGAATATCTGAGACTAGCAATTTATAAAGGATAGAGATATATTTTTATGGCTCTGGAGGTGTGGAAATCTAAGTTTGAGGGCTCACAACTGGAGAGGACTTTCCTGTTGTGGGATAACATGGCAGAAGGCATCACATGATGTGAGAGAGAAAGAGGGGATGAACTTTACTTTCACAATACACAATAGTGTTGTGATAACAACTTACTGAGACTTCATCACTTCTTAAAGATCGCGCCTCTCAAAACTGTTGCACTGGGGATTACATTTCAAACACATAAACTTTGGGGGACACATTCAAGTAATAGCATTTGTAGGCTACATACTGTATGATTTCACTTATATTTGTATGCATAAAATATTCACAGTAAATGAGTCCAATTGATATACAAAATAAATTAGTGGCTACCTAACGCTGATGAATAGGGGCAATGAAGGGTAACCATTAAATGGTGCAGGGTTTCTGCCACTTCCTCCTGCTACTCCTCCCACTCCCCTTTCTTATTCTCCTCCTATCTTCCTCCTCCTCCTCCTCACTTTGTGTGTTGGTGCTTGGGATGGAACACAGGCCTTCAAGCATGCTAGGCAAGTGCTATACCACTGAGCCGCACCACCAGCACCAGAGTTTCTTTGTGGGATTACAAAAATGCTCTAAAGTTGATTGTAGTGATGGTTACACTAGTTTTAGTTTTACAACTAAAACTATTTTAAATGGGTGAAGTGAATTAGACCTCAATAAAACTGACTTCTTAAAAAAATAAGAGCTAGTTCATAGCACAGTTTACTTTCAGATAGAATCTGAGAAAGGCTTCAAGTAAAATTTCATTTTAAAGCTGATACATTTGACTCTATAAAATTTGATTAAGAATATTTTGGATAGGGAGAATAACAGGACTGAAGCAAAGAGGTAGGAAATTAAAAGATGTCTCCAGGGAACACTAAGTTCAGCCATGGATGGTGTCATATTAAAGAAGACCTTGAATTAATTATGACTTTGGGCCATACAGGATGAGAGGTAACTGCTCTGGACTGAGCTAATTTATATGATGAACACAGTAAAGACCAGAGGAAAGAGACTGGGGAAAAGGAGAGCTGATAGAAGGTTTTGCAACATCCCAGTTCACTGATATGAATGCAGAGGGAGCAACCAGAGCTGTACTTAAAACTATAAATTCTGGGATTTTAAAAACTATGGGTTTATTTTATTTTTAAATTTTGTTTTAATTAGTAATACATTACAGTAGAATGCATTTTGACACATGATACATAAATGGAGTTTAACTTCTCATTTTTCTGATTGCACATGACATACATTTGCACTGGTCATGCAATCATATATATATGCACATAGGGTAATAATGTCCAATTCATTCTACTTTCATTTCTACACCCATACCCCATCCCTCCTTTCACTTCTATCTGTCTAATCCAAAGTAGCTCTATTTTTCCCTAGAGCCTCCTCCCTTATTGTGAATTAACATCCACATAGCAGAGAAAATATTTGGCTTTTAGTTCTTTGGGATTGGCTTATTTTGCTTAGAATAATATTCTCCAGCTCCATCCATTTATCTGCAAATGCTATAATTTTGTTGTTCTTTAAGATGGAGGAATATTCTATTCTGTATATACACCACAGTTTCTTTATTCATTCATCTGTTGAAGGCCATCTAGGTTGGTTCAATAGTTTAGCTGTTGGAAATTGAGCTGCTATAAACATGGATGTGGCTGTATCACTGTAGTACCCTGATCTTAAGTCTTTTGGGTATAAACCAAGGAGTGGGATAGCTGGGTCAAATGATGGTTCCATTCCAAGTTTTCTGAGGAATCTCCATACTGCTTTCCCAAATTACACCAATTTGCAGCCCCACCAGCAATGTATGAGTTTACCTTTTCTCCCACATCCTCATCAACTTTATTGATGCTTATATTCTTGATATTGCCATTCTCACTGGAGAGAGATGAAATCTCAATGTAGTTTTGGTTTGCATTTCTGTAATTGCTAGAGATGTTGAATATTTTTTCATATATTTGTTGATCGATTATATTTCTTCTTCTGTGTAGTATGTGTTCAGTTCCTTAGTCTATTTAGTGATTGGGTTATTTGTGGGGTTTTATTGGTGTTAAGCATTTTGAGTTCTTTATATGGTTTATTTCTTATTTGCAGTTGTCCTCAATAAACATGTGATGATAAAAGATATTGTTAGATAGGTCAAGGAATCCAAGGTAATGCTTCAGGTGTGAAAGATGGCAGCCCCATGACCTGGAAGGAAATGGGGCAAGGGAATGAGGTAAGAGAGGGGTGGCATACATGCAGGTGGCTCTGGTATTGCAGACACCTACACAATTGGACATGAGGTATTTGAACTGCAGAGAAAGATCATGAGTTAGCCCTAAGAACTTTGGAGTCAATCAAATGAGGTTGAGTGTTGACAGCACTGGAATAAGAGAATTGGGAAGAAAGTAGAAAAAAAAATAGATTGCAATTAAACAAACAAAATCCCCTTTGGAAAAGGAGAGGAAAAGTGATGTCTGATGTCAGTACAAGGTCAAAGATGTAAAACTTTGGCAGGACAGGCAGCTAGGTGATTCTCTGGAAGAGTGCGAGGATTTCTAGAGGGGAGGGGGAACCTTACTTAGCACCAGAGGCATACATAATGGAAAAGAATTTCAGCACATGCCAAATAAATTTATAGACAAAGGTTTATTTAGGAAAATAGATACACATTCAAGGGAGAATGGGGGCAATCTCAAGAGAGGTGTCTTTGGGGTAAAGCAAAGAATACACATCCAAAAGAGACTGCAGGCTATCTCCAGAGGGAAATAAGCAATCTATTGGAGTGGGGTATAAATATTTATAGGAGGCCTATGCTAGGGGCTGGACTAGAGGTGGAGCCAGGGGACAAGGACATAA